GGACACAGACACCGCGGAGTCGCGGAGATTCACCGTGGGGTTCAGAAAGAGAAAAGCTGCCGATGGGGATTCACGGCAGAGGTTGCCGCTCAGCTGCAGCCAGGAGTTGTAGTAGATGTAGGAAGAGTAGCTTGAAAAAAATACAGCCGAGCTTCTCTGCATGTCGTTGCCCTGAAACACAACCGCTGACTGGGACTCCACACGCAACGCCAAAATTACTAACAAAAAGTACTTCACCGGCCTCGTCACAACGTTGCCTCGGATCACCACAGCAGAGTTGTTCAGCACCTTCAGCGATGAAAATTGGCCAGACCCTTCAATATTTATCAGCGTACTGTCACCGCCGCCCATATGAAACGTGTTGCCCAGCACCGCAAGCACGGAGTGCCACGACACCCTCAGCGCAGATCCAACAAATTTTACGACACTTGACGATGTCGTCACGCTCTGAAACACATTGCCACTCAGCACCACCGCGGAGTCGTTGCTGATCGCCAGTCCATTCATCACAACACACGACGGCCTCCTAAGGTCCAAACCCAACCAATGGAACAGCCTCGTGACCGTAAAACTGCTCCCGCTGATCGTGATGTTTGTGTGCGGTGGAAACACACCCTCCGGACTGAGCAGCGCGTCAATAAATCTGTTGCCGGTGACGACGATGTTCAGCGACCCCACAGCGGCGTACGCGTTGCCCAACAGCAACAGCACGGCGCCGCCCCTCCACGTGCAGCCATCGAACGTGACTTTCACCACGTCGCCCGTCATCCCCCCAATCAGCACCGTCATGCTCATGCCGCCCCCGTTGAACGTCACGTTGCGGTAGCACAGCCACGACAGCCCGCCGCCCACTGCCTGCGTAACCTCGGGGTACACCATGTCGCTGATGCACTCACCAACCGGCGGTGGCGGCGGTGGCGGCGGCGATGACGGTGGTGGCGGTGGCGGCGGGCCAGCAGGCACGGGCGCTGGGACGCACACATCGCCGTGCCCTCCAGCAGCGCACTGGCACCTGCAGTCAATGACCGCCGTCGTCAGCGGAGCAAAGCAGTCGCCCTCCTTCGTGCACTCACCGCACGCGGTAACCGTCGTCACGTTGGTGATGCCGCTCAGCTCCAGTTCAGCCGCCGTCGACGCCTCCCGTCCCGCGACCGTCAGGCACCCAGCAACGAACCGGTAGCCGGCGTCAGCCCGAGATAAAAGGGACACCGACAACCCCGTCGAGCCCATCTTGCAGCCTGTCAGCGTCACCACACTGCTGCCGTCAATCCTCACAAAAGCGGAGCTACTGTCGTAGAACATCGCACCCACCTCCACGTCGTTGTCGCGCCAATCCAACCAGCTTGACCGCTGAACAGTCCAAATGTCATCGTTAAAGATGGCGTAGCGCACGGAGCCGCTGTTCCCCACCACGCGCACCACGCTGTGATCCGACACGTTGAATCTGTTGTGTTGATACAGCAGGCTTACCCCGGAGAACACTGTATTGTTGAGAAGCGCAAAAACGGAGTGATTGCGGACACTGAGCCCGTACAAGTAGAACATATGTGTGTATCCCTCAAAGCTGCAGTACCGCGCGTACAGCGAGCTGCCACCCACCAGCGTCAGCGTCCCGGTCGAGTAAAAACCAAGCGCATCACGCTTCATTGCATGCGCCCTGACGTTGCTGACCAACAGCGAGGACGCACTCAACACGGCGTCCTTCAGCAACAATACGCTCAACGTGTTCATCCTAGTGTCCGGCAGTTCGGACGAGGAGAACTGCGCCGCGTCAACCTCCGTGACGGCGATGTCGCAGTGCTGCGGGAGGGCACGTATAAAAGCAACGGTGGAGGAACGCATCACCGTCCGGCTCACGCGGATCAGGACGCCAGATGACTCAACCGCCGCCGCACCCCCAACAAACTGCAGCGCGGCACCACTACGAAATGTGCACCCAGTGAGCGTGATGTTGATGGGAAGATGCAGCGGCATGCTGTTGAGGGAGAACGTCAGCACGGCACCCACGCCGCTGAATGTCACACCCACGTAGCAGTGGTGCGTCTTCCACATGTTCAGCGCGAGGTCCGTCAGCGTCTGGTCCACCACGCAGCTCGTGTCGCCGTCAACGGCTCTCTCCGCTGCGGGCGGCACAACAGTGTCGGGCACCTCGAAGGGAAGACACGACGCGCCATGCCATCCGTCCTTGCAGCTGCACGAGCACGAGCCGCGGTCCACCAACTCCGTCCCGGGCATGTAGCACGCCGCGTCGTCGTTGCATGTGCCGCACCTGAACACCTCCACCACCTCCGGAAACACACCGTCGTACGACACCTCCTCATCGCCCTGCAGGTTGCACCCAACCACAAACCTTGCGGGTAGCTCAACAATCGTGTCTGGCGGAGAAAGATCAGCGAAGGGATAACTATTGTCTACCTGACGGTTGTGTGCAAGCGCCACGGTGGTGCCGCTGCCCGACAGCTGAATTTTGTACTGGGGATAAGGAATAGTTAATACTGAGGCTTCACCCACGCTGTTGCCCTCCACACGCCACTGCGCACCTCCCTCGAGGGTCACCGAGCCAGACAAATGCAACAGCGCGGAATCAAAAACTTCACTCCCGCCAAAGGTGCAGTCCGCCACTCGCAGCAGCCCCGCGGAGCTCACGGTAGTATCCCAAAAAAAAATAACGCCATTGACCGAGCTCATCGTGTTGTTCTCCACGTCAAAGTAGCCGCCGTTCTTCACATCAACACCATTAACGCAAACAGATGATTCCACACCGTCATCGTCCTTCGTTGTGCTCAGCGTATTTCCCTTCACAATGATCCCGCCACCATCAACAACAACACCATTGATGAAATAGACTGCGTACCTATTCGCCTCGATGTAGTTGTCGAGTAGCAGCAGCGCCATATTCGCACTGAGAGTAAACTTCACAAAGGAAATGGCGTGGCTCGACGTCGTCACAAGCGTACTGCCCACCACCAGTATCTGGGAGCTCGCGCCAAAATCACCTCTAAAATCCAATGCACCAAAATCCAGTATCGAGGAAGTCACGCTCACGTGTACGCGCACACCACTCCCCCTGATCAACAGGCCCATGAGGACGCACTGCAGCAGCGTGATGTTGAGTGTCTGCTGTGGCGCGTCAAAATACGACAGGTCAAGCACAATCGCGGCGGTGAAGGTCACGTTGACAAAGCACAGACCACGCACACCGGGATCAGGATAGTCCACGGAGCTGATGCTGCCACCGTGCACGCAGCGGACCTCCGTGTCCTTCGCATCGGGGAGCGGGAGCGGTCCAAGGCCGTCCGGAACCGCAGCTGGCAGACACGTGTCGCCGTAGCCGCCAGCAGCGCACACGCACTCACAGCCGCTGATGCTGCTCGTCCTCGCAGCGAAGCACACGGCGTCCACCGTGCACGCACCACAGTCCAGCACCGTCACGGGTGCTCCAATATTGAGGTCGTCTTGGTAATCCGTCACAGGAGAGCCCCTTGCCTCGTTGCACATACCGTAGATGGTCGGGCGCGTGTCGGATGGTGGTGACCAGTTGTTTGTCATATTTGCGATGGTGGAGTACGAGCCATAGGTGAGGTTGTTGTCAAGTATCGACCACACACTCCGATCGCGGAACACCATGCCGTAGTGGGCAGCCACGTACACAACGTAGGCGGTGCGGAACTCGTTGTTGCGGTGCACCAGCCAGCTGCCGCCAGTCACGGTCAGCGTGGCTGCCATCAGCATGGCGAAGCCGAGACGGAAAGTGCTGGACACAATCTGCAGCACGCTGCCGCCAGCCACCGCAACGTCCTTGAACACACACGCGGCTTTGCCATATTCGGTGCTCGGTAAAATCCACGAACTGTCCTGTATGGAGAACACTGAGCCGTTACCAACACGCAGGTCCGACGCAAGGGCGTAAATCACGTGCTTCCGCGACCTAATAACGCAGTTGTCCATGTAGAAGACGCTGGACAGGTTCACGCCGAGGCTGCGCTCCACGAGGATCGCAGCGCACGAGCCCCCGCCACACACCAGCGTCGACCGCGTCATGACAAAACACGTTGACAGAAGCCGGACGCCGTCCAGGACAAGCGCGGGGACGTACCGGAAGCTCTTGTGGCCACGGGTCGTCGGCACGTACTGCGACCCGCCAACCGTCGCGCGCAGCGCTGAGTTCGCCAGCAGCACACTCGAGTGCAGCGGCATCGCGCCATGCAGCACAATCGTGCCCTCCAGCGACGTCACATTCGTCATGTTGACGAAAGCGTGCGGCATCAGGCGCGCCGTGCTCTCGCTGAGGCCGCCAATCCGCAGCTGCGCGCCGCCCGCAAGCACGCAGTGGCGCAGCGTCACGTTCAGTGCGTCAGCGAACGCGTCCATCGAGCGCAGGTCCACCGCCACAATGATCGGTCCGCTGAACAACACCGAGTCGAAGCACGCCGTCGCACGCCCGCCGCCAACCGTCACCGACTCCGTCAGCGTCACGCCACTCACGCAGTCCTGCGCACCGTCACCACTGCCACCGGCCCTCGCAGGCGGCAAGTCGAACGGCAGGCACGCGTCGCCCACGCCGCCGGCACGGCAGCTGCACACGCATTCGGAGAACGACGCCGTCAGCGCATCAAAGCACGCCAGCGCGGCCGCACAGCCGTCGCACGGCACCACGCTCACGGAGGGCAGGCCGGCCATGCGGTAGTCGCCGCTGCTCTGCAGCACCCGGCCGCCGGCACGGTTGCACTGCACCGACACGACGCCGCTCGTGATCGCCGGCCCGGAGACAAGCGTAGCGCCAGTGGCAGCGCAGCGCGCAATCGACACGGCGCCGCCGCTCAGCGTCATCCCCGACAGCAACGCCACAGACGACGCCTCGCCCACCGCCCACACGTCGTGCAGGTCCAGCCACCCGCCGCCACCGATCGTCCCACCGTCGCAGCGCACCAGCGACGACGCAACAGACCCCTCGACGCCGACGAAGCGCAGCACCGAATCAAACACCGCGAGGCGCTCTCCAAGCACAAAGCCGCCGCTGCTCACAACCGACACGTCCGTCACGGAGAACATCGAGTGGCTACGCAGACTGAGGCGCGACGAGGACGCCACATGCATCGCGGACGCGGTCAGACCGCCCGACGCCTCCAGCAACACTCCGTCAAGCACCACCGCGCTCGACAGCAGGTCCACGCCGCCGCCAACGTACACCGCCGACCCGCCCGCCTGCGACGACCTCAGTACAGTGTTGCTCACACGCAGCTGCGACTGCAACAGCGACGTCGCGTACAGCACAAGCGGCGACGCCACCGCGTCCGTCAGCCCGCTCAGCTGCGAGTAGCGCATCGGCCCCGGCGTCACAATCGTCGAGTCACGGACCGTCACGTTCGTGTGTGCCGGCAGGTTGTGCACAAACACAAGCGAGCAGTAGCTCCCGGACAGCCCGCTCACGCTCACCACCAGGCTCCGGTCACTCACCGGCTCGCCGCTGTAGCCCCGCACGTAGATCTGCGCACCGCCGTCGCACACGCAGTTCCTCAATTCGATGCGCAGCGCGCCGGGAAGCATCGCCGGCACGTCGAACACCACAGCCACGCCGTTCGTGATGGACACGCCGTCCATCAGCACCGTGTCCACGGCGCGGCCAACCGTGATGGCTCTGTCCACCGTGCCGCCCCGCAGTCGCAACACCACCGCATGCACCGCGGGCATCCACGCAGCAGCTGCTGCTAGCACCAACGCCACAAGCAGCGCCACACGCACAGCCAAAATGGCCCTGCGCCGCACACGTTGCCGGCTGCGCGGACACGCATCCACCGAAGACTGCATCCACCGACTCAGACACGTATCAGCAGGGCTGTCGCGTTGTGTCGCTCTCGCCCCGTCGACCATTCCTCCTGTCTATCAAATCCTTTCCTACAGATGGCGAATCCAGTGACACGATTCCGCCAGATCGATATCCCAGTACCACCAATCCTAATACTGCAATTAATCCTTAACACCTTGAAACGATAGTTGTGCTGGCAAAGCCAAAGTATCTCTAACTGCACGCTCAAAAAAAAAAAGAATAAAAGACAGCAGCAACAACAGTAACCAAATACAGTGACACGCAGAGGCATCCGGTCATACACAATCCCCACCACAGTACAGCCGCCGAAGCAAAGCCGCGCAGACGCAATAAAGTCAGTGACACCATTGCCCTCCCACCACCCACACAACCCCATACAACCACCGCGCGTCGTGGCGTGGATACAGACTGGCGTCGGTGGTGTGCCAGCAGTGCTGACAGGCGGCGGTGGACCAGTCCTTCGCTCTCCCCTAGCAGGACAGAGAGCAGCGGGATTGGCCAACAACACTCTCCGTGCGGCATGTGTTCTTCCCGTGTTCGCAGATGGGAGTGGTGTCCCTGTTTCGCAGGAACTTCGCAGACTGCCGTCAGCGAGGGAGGTATTGATCATCGTTCTGTGCGAGGAGCGGGCAGCGGGTGCAAGATGGCACAGAAACACATTCAGTGCGCCGCCGCGGCCAGGGGCCAAGCAAGGCAAACAGTGGCGGATGGTGAAGTCAAGCGCATACGGCGTGAAGGACCCATCCATATCACAGTCACCAGGGGACACGCAAGCACAAAGTGTGCGGACAGCACTGGGGATCGCAGCACGTGCGACGCGGACAGTGTGATGGACAAGCAAATTTTCCTGCTGCCAAGACAGAGCACAAACGCGGTCCCAACAGTACCGCAGCACGGCCGATCCCAGAGGGCAGGGACGTGGTGCCTCCATGCCTCGCGGCATCAGAGGCGTGGGATCGAGAGGGCACCAAGCTCCTTCGCACGGACCACAAGCAGCATGGAGAAGTTACGGCAGAGGGCATGATTGCGGTACTCCCGTTTGCGGAAATCTTCAGCTCGGGGCAGGCTGCCTCCCGGTGAGGCTGTGTGCGCGTCCCATGCTGCCGCTGCAACACACTCGGCCTGCTCCGCTCTGACCGTCCGGGTTCATCAGTGGCTGTCACGGCTGCCGCGCGGGATGGTGCGTCTTGCCGCTCGCACGGTGCATATCCAACCATGTGGTCACAGTGGCCAGAGGCGTTGCACACACCGAGGTGGAAGCATTCCAGTCGGCTTCACGCAGAAAAGCGACGGCATGTTTCCGTCGTGGCAGCATGCCTGCCGGTCGCGGGAGGCCGTCCTCCGTCCCCGCAGTGTGGGATGGCAGATGGTAGTCCGAGTCCATGCAAAGGGGTGGATGTCCAGTGGGAGACACGCAGTACGCGTTGCGCAGTCACGTCGGGAAACGAGACGCGGCGGCCGCTGATCCGCGCTGGCTGTGCCGGGTCGTCGAACAGCTCACACTCCATGCCGCTTGGGGTGGCGGCGAGGTTCTCTCCTGCCGTCGTTGATCGTGAGCGACCGTCCCGCAGCTCATGGTGCGAATTCTGGTGGCCCGCAAATAACCGTTGCAGGACCAAGGCGACAAATGGTGGTCGCAAACTGGGCAATGTGGGCGATTTCCAGAAGAAGGCCGCAGAGGTTCACCACGCACATGCTGGGGCTGGCCGGTGGGCACACGCGGAAGGCAGTGGTCTCCACGCAGTTGGTGCCACGAGCAGCAGGCACTCGCACAACAAAGTGTGGCGCACCAAGAGGGCCACGCCACCGGCACGCCCACTGCAGGTCTGGTGGAAGTCACCGCAGCCAATGCGCCGCGTCGCTGGGGCGCCCTGCTGCCTGCACTCCTGCAGAAAAGCGGTGTCAGTCCGGTGCTGCGCCAGTCGAGCAACAAGGGCAATCCTGAAGGGCGAAGGACTGGAAGTTCCGAGTTGCCAGACAACTACGAGGCCATCCTCATCGGGGCGGCGGCCCCTGCGGACACCACCGCAGCGGGTGATGCCGATGGAGTGACTGCAATGGAACGACGGTGCGCTTCTGTCAGTTGAGCCGCAGGCAAACCGCCTCGCCGCTACACAACCGACAGAGCATGGGACCTTCTCGAGGGGTGACGCCGCCGTGGCCCCGTCACGCTCGCAGCAATGCCCTGCCGCAATCACCCCCGCAGAGAGACAGGGAAGAGTGTGTGGATGTGTGTCGAGAGCACAGCGACTGTCATCGCCAGAGGAGGCCATCGTGGCACCGTCCGTCACGCACCAGCACACACCGAGCAACGCACGCACCCGGCAGTGCAAAAACAACAAGGAGAGAAGAATGC